TTTGAGACCATGTAGGTGACACCCTCATCAAGAGGGGAAAACTCTGACAATCAAGTCAAGGTGGATAAAATGTGAGAATATGATCAAAGGAAATTTGCAGAAGTCCCTTGTAAAGATTAGGAAGTTTTTATGTCTTAATAATTTTAACCATTGGAAACTAACTTACTATCTAAGTTATTAGGCTGACTTCTAGATTAAGTAATTCCTGATGAAACTAGGTTTTGGTTTGTAAGCTACACTTAAATACTTCATAAGTCTGGTTTGATCGTGGTTTATTCTTCAAAAGGTAAGAAGCAACATGCACACTTTCAGAGCCCCTGATTATTTTGGTCTGTATGTTTAAAAACACAAGTTTTAATAGCCCAGAATTTACCAAAATAAACAAGTTAATTTCATCAATCTTACTTTGCTTCTAATAAACTTCTCCCAGATAAATGAAAAATAAACTCCAAATATGGATTTACAAATCATTTGATATTTTCCTTTTGTGCAGAGTACATAGGAGAGAAAAGTATAGTATTGACTTTAGACCCAAATAGTAGAGTTAATATTTTCCACAATTTAGCCCCTGTTTAACATCAGACTGGGTCATGAACTCTCAATTTCCATGTACCAAATTTAGTGCCAAAATACTTAGCTTTGTTTACCACTGTCTGCCCTCCCAGTTATGCCAGGGTGTCACTGATAGTTGTGGGCACAAAAAGTCACAGTTCTGCACTGAGGGTGACTGGCGTGCTGTGCCAGTGTGAGATCCAGGGTGGCTGCACTGTGGCGGAATCAATGGTCTGGAATCCAGTCTTCAACCTGACAGGCCCAGATCCATGATGGTCCTGGTATGCACAAAGAAGGCAGTTTCAGATGCCATGATACACACTAAGCACATTCACTAATGGCTAAAGTATAAATTTAAAACACATTTGATTGTTTTTAGTAAGAAACAAAAGGAATGAGTCATCAGTCATATTGACTTCAAAGTGTCTTCCAATTTATATGAACAGAGTGGTCTAGGAGTGGAAATGGAGCAAAATCAGCTGAATTTTCATAGAGTTCGAGGGAAGTCAACTCTGCTACCCTGATAACCTCCTCTCCTCTGTGGGATCAGAATATTCCGAATATTGGTGTCCTCAAAACACTGGCTCACCCAGATGGCCCTGGAAACACAGTGGTCCCATTTCTAGTTTTGGCTTCCATTTTCAATTCACCTTCTATGAACTTGATATATAATTTGTGATACAGGTTATTTTATTTTATCTAATTAAATTCATACCTTGGCACTATGAATGAGTCAGTTTCCCAACTTCCTTTTCCATTCATTTCTAACGCATTTTTGGAAGTGTAACTTCTTTTGATAAATTAGTATCAGTCACTCTGTGAAATTTATTTTTTAATTCATAAAGACCAACATTATCTTCATAATATGTGATCATTTTATAGTAACACCAGTATGCTGTAATGTGGTAACCATAATGGTGTTCCCAAGAGCTGTGTCCTAGGCAATATATATAGAGTACTATTGCATTAGACACTTCTTCCTTTAGGGAAGGAAGGTGGTAACTGTGAATGGGATAAAAGAAAAGGGTCAGAAAGACACAGACACACAAAAAATAGTATTGTGCATGACAACAGACTAATTATTCTTTAGAGCAATGATGAAACACACTTTCTCCTGCCGCTTTTTTCTTGCTCTTGACCTCACAGTAGTAAACTGAACACTAACTAAACTCCCTAGAGACACAAAGTTGAGTTCAGTTGTTCTGCAAAGGACACAAATTACTACATACGTACATTGGGAAGGTTTCAGATTCCCGAAGGTAGATGCATTGAGTGAATTTGTCTGTTTTTCCCAGGCTTGAAGAACACAGAATTTTTTTTATGGCATCATTTTGTGATGTTAGTCAAATTGGAGCCTGGAGGGAGAAGATAGCCCAGAAGGACCGTTCTAATGTTCCCATTCAATCAGAAGGTGGCTCATAAGCTTGATCTTACAGTTTTCAAAGCCTTCCGTCTAACAATATTTTGTAGGCTTTTCAATTATCCTTTTGGCAGTGCTATTTATAATATGCAAATGCTAAAACAAGCATAAGCACAGGCTTGACTTTGCAAACCCTTGTGCGGTAGGAAGTAGAACAAATTCTAGCACAATTTGATAATGCTGGCAACTCCAAGAGCCCAGGTGAAGGGCCCCTGCTCTGCCGTTAGAAAATCCTCTCTAAAACAACTTTTTGAAAAGAGTGATCTGTTTTTTTTAGGAAACGATGGGGCAATACATTCATGCAGAAGGTTGAAGTGTTCTTCTTATAACCTAAAAATATAGGCACAAGTCTAAATAAATTTTTAAGAAGGAAATTTGTCTAGAGCACTGTGAATTGTCTGAGAAGAAATAAGTAATAAAATTGTCAGAGGTGTTTACAATAATTACCTTAAATTAGTACACTAATTTTCTTCTTATCTGTAAATGTATGGCCTTGAAAGATAATGGCTTCAGGACATCATTTTTATGACATCAAGGGTGTAAAAATTGAAGGTTATCACCCAAAAAACAGAAGAGCTCTGGCCTGCCGTAAGGGGTGACAGATGAGGTTGTCAGATTACTTAAGCAGATTGTTGCATTTTTTCTTTCTGTGGTAATCTTTTACATTTTTTACAAATTCTTCTCTTTTTGAGGATGATTTAAACATACAGTTATGAAGCAGATCGGAGCTTTTAAATCAAAGCTGAAAACTGTTGCTGACACCAGAAGTACACATTGCAGTGACCACACACATAAATATTATAAATGAGAGAATCACGTACACATTTGAAAACATTTGCTTTCCAGCAAAATCTCCTCGGGAGAAGTATAACAGTAGGGAGGAGGGGAAGTTGGGAAAGGTAAATTCTTGCCCACATGTCATGTTTCTCTCACTCTATATTCTTCAGAGTCTGTTCACTCTGTCTGAGCTTCTCATCGCTAGAAAGGAAAGTTTCATGGTCACAGATCACCGTCTGGTTTATTCGCCAGTGTATCCAGACATCTAGTGCCTGGCACATAGTAGGCCCTTGGTTTGTACTTATTGAATAAATAAATCTATGAAATAAGATCAACCATAGCAGCCTCTCTGTACTTGGATTGAATATTTTATGGGGCAGGGTGGGAGAATGAGAAAATAAAACCCTGAGCTCACTTGGGAAAAGATTCTTATATAAATCCAAAATGACATTGTAGTCTCTCTTTTTTTTAATTGCTTATACAACCCTACAAATCACAATCATCTTCAAAAACAGTAACGACATCTCTCAACTTTACACAACTCCCTTAGAGTGGCTTCGGCTCTCTCTGTGACATGTTTGAAATCTAGGCTCACGAAAAACAAATCCCAACTTCATCCCTGGTTATGTGACCTTAGCCATGTTGTTTAACCTTTGATGGCTTGGCTTCTTCAAAATGGAGACATGGGCAATATCAACCGAAGGAGTTGTACAGATAAAATTAGATAACTTGTGTGAAGTTCTTTGCATAATACAGAACTTGGAAAGTACTCCATAAATGTTAGTTTATATTATTTTTTTGCTATCCAAGGATTTCTTCTCGATTCATTGTTTCTTCTTGTTTGTTTTTCTACTTGAGCATGTGTATTATTTTCCTAGGGCTGCTGTAACAAAATGCCACCACCTCAGTGGCTTAGAACAACAGAAATTTCTTATCTCGCAGTTCTGAAGACTAGAAGATCAAAGTCAAGATTGTCTGGGCCGTGCACCCTTTGAAAGTTGTAAGGGAAGAACCTTTCCTGGCCATTTCCTGTAGCCCCAGACATTCTTTGGCTTCGGCAGCATAATCCCCATCTCTATCCATCCTCACTCAGGCTCCTCCCTTGCTGTTTACATCATCCTGCTGTGCGTATCTGTGTCCAAATGTTCCCTTTGTACCTGGACACCAGGCATATTAGATTAAGTCCCACCCTAAAGAACTCCCTGTAACTTGATCACCTCTGTAAAGACCATATTCCCCAATAAGGGTACCTTCTGGGGTGTTGTGGGTGAGAGCTTGAACATATTTGGCGGGTAGGTGAGCACAATTCAACCATACCGGGATGATTCTATATACTTCAATTCATTGTATCTTTCCTCACCCAATGGAGAAATATCATATAATACAACACCAGACTGGGAGCTTTTAGGTTTAAGATTTGTTTTGCCACCAACTAGACTGAAAGAAATTCCTCAAATTCTGCAAGCTTAGGTCACTTCACTAAAATAAAAGGACTGGGCTAGATGATATTTAGCATGTCTTTCAACTCTAAAAGGCCCTGGTTACAATGTGTGACTTTCTTTCTGTTAACTATGTACGGTGTGTATCTCCACCCTCCATGATGCTCTGTGTATCTTGATGTCCCCGTAACTAATTATAAAATATCCCATGGCACTTCCAATGGTCTCAATGCACACTTGATGAAAACCCCACTGTCCATAAGGCTAGTGAGAGAGATTCATATCAAATAAAAGCTTTTTTAGATTTAGATTGTAAAAATGTCTAAACAGTGCCAGTGAACCTTTTTTGTGATTTTTTTTTCTTTTTGGAGTTTTCTAAAATTTTTCAATACACATATATTTTATGCCAAATGCCCTCAATATAAAAATAAGATCCAAAATGTGAAGGTTTGTAGTGTGTGTGTTTTCTAATTATAGTATGATACAACTTACTTGAAAACCATAAAACCCAAATGTCAGGGGTTAGGGGAAATGAAAAATCAAATTCTGCTACTAATTCATAGACTACTGGCAACTTTCCTAAAAGTTTGTTTAGACTACTGCTATTTATAGGACTTAAAAGTCTCCTCCACCATGGCTAGAAAAATATTTAAGAAAAGAAAGAGCAATCCGGGCTAACTCTGAGATAATGCCATTTCTTGTGTCTCCTTGTCAGAAGCAATTAAGTAAAGATTCAGGTGAGAGTTTCTAACTCCACCTCATCTAAAAACCGCTGCCCTAGGTCTTCACTGTGTCACTTCTTTCTCTTTCAGCTTCCTCCATTCTCAAAAGGGAGAAGCGGCTGAGGACAAAGAACGTGCACTTCAGCTGTGTCACGGTGTACTACTTCACCAGGAGGCAAGGCTTCACGAGCGTGCCCAGCCAAGGCGGCAGCACCCTGGGCATGTCCAGCCGCCACAACAGCGTGCGCCAGTACACTCTGGGCGAATTTGCCAGAGAGCAGGAGAGGCTCCACCGGGAGATGTTACGAGAACACCTCAGGGAGGAAAAACTGAACTCTTTAAAACTAAAGGTAGACTGCATCTGAAACTCACTCTTTGCCAAATGCTGCCTCCTTCCTTCAATTTGGTTGCGTTAAGCATTTTCCTACTTATATTCACAAGCCAAACTGGGTGTTTTACACAACAGACTGCCCCCTGAGGCTTTTTGTTAAAAGATTTTATTCATTTGTCTTTAGAGGGGAAGGGAAGGAGAGAGGGAGAGAAATGTCAATGTATGGTTGCCTCTCGTGTGTCCCCCGCTGGGAACTGGCCTGCGACCCAGGCATGTGCCCTGACTGGGAATGGAACCACGATCCCTTTTTTTGCAGGCCCTCGCTCAATCCACTGAGTTACACCAGCCAAGGCCTTTTTTAAAAGCAAAAACAATATAGTGTCTTCTCTGAAAACAATGTGGAAATTTTACCTAACATTGTTTATTCATAATTCACTCTATAAATGTAAATGATTGAACAATGCTAGGTTGTAGACATGCTTGCGCTAGGGCTAACTGATATCAACATAGATATGATCTCTTTTCTCCCAGAACTTACACATTAGTAGGAAAGAAAAATATTAATTGTGTAGACAAAGTAAGATTACAGCTTCATGAAGTGATGTGAAGGAGAGCTGCAAAGTGCCATGAAAGTGTATAAGGGAACTGATGTGATCCAAAGGTCAAAGACGGCTTCCTCAAGGGAATGACATCTGAGCAGAGAGCTAGGCAGTAAGGGTTGGCGAGATTGGTTCAGGCAGCAGGAGGGCCGGGAGCGGCTTTGTGGCAGGAGGAAGTACGGTGAGCACACAGAGGCCGGTGTGGCTGGGACTGAGGCAGAAAGATTGGAGTGGCATGAAGGAGTTGGGATAGGGCTTTGTAGGTCATGTCAAAGCGTTTTTTTTCTCTCTTCATCCTAAGGCCATCAGAAATAATCCAAGAGTTTTCAGCATGGGAGTGGGTGGTGGGATAATGGGATCTGGTTCGTGCCATGATGTGAGAACATTTTTGGAGTAGAAAGAGCCACATTATGGTAGGAGGTAGGGGGTGGCATGTGGAGTTAGACCAGGTAAGAGGCTGTTGCAATAGTCCGGGAAAAAGATAATGGTGAGTTAGATTAGACAGATGGTAAGGGAGATGAAAAAGGATGGACAGAGGGAGAAATTTAGGAAGTCAAATCAATAGTCCGTGATGGTGGGTGGATTTGGAAGGAAAACAGTGACTCCTAAATGTCTGGCTTACAAAAGTGGATGGTAGTCCCTTTGTCTATGACAAGGATATGACAGGGAATGCAAGAAGAGGTGCAGCTTGGGGCTGGGGGTGTTTGGGAGGGGTAGATGATGAGATCATTTTGGACATACTGATTTTCAGAGAATCTCTGGTTTTTAAAGAGAAGTCAGAGAGTTATCCATGTAGAGATACCTATTCTTCTGCCGTATTAGAGATTAAGTCAAGAGAAACACAGATCAGAAAACTTCTTTCATCAACCAAAGGCACTTTTTATATTTGCATTGATTCATCAAATATCACTTTATAGGAAATGCTCCCCCATCATTATCTAATGACAAAAGAATCTTTGCAGGTCATCCAGAGTACTTAATAAAAAGGGTTACTCTTTACCTCGCTGAAGCACCGTAAGCATACCTTTGTTACTTGTATCTTTAGTTCCCAGTGTAAAGTCAGTTGGCAGAAGTGTCATGTGTGCCTCAAAAGACCTTGTCCTCATGCATTTTGCAATTTATGTATATGCCTTGCTCCCAGTTGCAGAAGTCAGTTACTTAAATTAAACTGGACACAATCAACTGAGAGCATGTTGCACATTTCCTTTGGAGGCATTTTTGACAGATTTCCTTGAAATTCCCTTAAGATATTTTGATAGCAATACACTGCTATTGTTGTTGTTCATGATTACCTTGCCTATAGCTTAATTTAATAATAATTTTCATATTTGCTTCTGAAACCTACCCCTGCCTTTCTGATGCACTGCAAACTAACAATACCCCTACCCAGAGAGAGAAGTCATTCTTCAGACTCGAATATTAGAGGAACACTTGTAATCACTGCCATTCATTCAGTGACTTTTATTTGCCAGGCATTTGATAAGTATTATTTAATTTTATCCTAACAAAGACCCCAGTGGAATAGGTACATTATGTGACTGTGTATACAACTAAAGTTAAAGAAGCATAGAGATATTATATAGCTGACTCACTAACAGAAAACTGGTTATGTTATCTAATTACTTCCTCTTCTAAAATTAATTGATTATCCCCTATAGGCATTGGGAAAGACAGTCTGTGTCCCTGTAGGGAGTCGTCCCTATCTGAGATTGAGTACTGTGTGCAGTAGTTTTTAACAGCTGGGGAACTATAATTCTATCTGAAAACCAGAAGATTTATTGTGGTGAACTTTGAAGTATATTTTACATGTGATGAATATTAGGGGGGGGGCCACACAATGCAGAGACCTTCCTCCACATCAGGCTGTGATATATTCTGTTACTCTAATTTGTATTCAGCTACTTCTACACCTTTTTTTATACAAGCTGAAGAAGAAAAGAAGCAAAAATAGCTTTCTATTATTGATTCTTCTTTTTCATCGTGCTTAGTGTTGCAAGTTGGAGAGTCAGTCATCCCAGTGGGTGTCAGTCTACATTTGTCATTGATCAGTGCAGAAGTGAAAATATGCAGCTGTCTCTTTTGGTGAAGATATAAACAAAAATTATTTGAATAGCATAGCTTCTTCCGAATGAATACCAAGCAAGATGATACTGGGATTCTAAGCCTCACTGTACTGCAAGTATTCAGAAACCTGCGTCACATGAACCTGATAAAATATCACAGCAATACAACAATGTGGACCAATTTCCTAAAAAAAAAAAGCCTGAGGAGAATTAATGGAAGAAAACTTTTGTGTGTGTGTATGTGTGTAACATATATGTGTGTTATTTACATTTTCAGGGCATGTCTGGAAAATGTCTAGCCATTGTTAATATAACAAGAACAGTTTCTGTGATGTGGATGTAATCTGGCAGCCAAAGAGAGTGCACTGGAGTGCGAATGTATGAACAATGATGACATCACTGTAGTGATGTTAATGTTTATGATAATCAGTGGGGGTGGTACACACCATTGAGTGAGCATGCGTACAGTGCGGTCGTTGCATTCAAAATGACTGAGCGAGTAGAGCAATGAATCCGCATCAGATTTTGCATTAAGCTTGAGCATTCCTATGTGGAAACTGTTTGGATGATTCAGGAGGCCGCAGCTATGGGCAACTGGTGATTGGTGGCTTCATCATGACAGTGTGCCTGCTTGCGGGGCGCATCACGTCTCATGCAGAGTGTTTTAGCAAAACATCAAATCACCCAGGTGATTTAGCCCCCTACTACAGCCCAGATTTGGCACCCTATGACTTCTGGCTTTTCCCAAAATTAAAATCATCTTTAAAAGGGAAGGGATTTCAGGCCAACCATCAGTGAGATTCAGTAAAATACAATGGGGCAGCTGGTGGCGATTCCAACAAAGGATTTTGCAGGGTTTTGAACAGTGTAAGAGAGGCTGGGAGAACTGTGTGAAATCCCAAGGTGTCCACTTGGAAGGCAACTGAGGCGGCATTGTCCTCCATACAAGGTTTCCTATAGCTTGTATCTTCTTCATTAAATGTCCCTATTTTTCTCACAATACATTGCTGGATACTTTTTGGGCAGACTATATGTATATATAGTCTATAGGTATATATAGTGGGTACATATATACATATATACCCACCCATACATACATATATAAAAACACATATATATTATTTTTATTGTATTTCCCCATTACCATTTATTCCCCCTATAACCTTCACCTCCACCCACCTCCCATGCCTCTGCAATTTCCACACTGCTGTCCCTGTCCATGAGTTCTTTCTTCTTTTTTCTTTTTTGCTTGATCCCTTATGTTGTAATTCATCTAGTATATTAATGTTTATGATTTTCGATTCTACTGGTTTAGATTAGCTGTCCAAAAAGTTCACTCTGCTACTTGAAATTTTCATTCTTTTAATATGAATAGCATTTGTTTTGAAATATAAACCCCTCTGAGGTAAGTAGCAACATAAACAACTAAATCGATTTTAGTATTTTCACTGGGGCAGCAGGAAGGTCACCAGCACGGGAAGGAGCCCAAAGAGGAAAGCCAAGGTTGCTGAGAACACACTTTGCCACTTTGGTTTGGCCCAGAGGGTTCCTCCATGGGAGGCGATGCAGAGAAGGCAGCATTTGACAAGACAAAGCCTTCCCAAAGTCCTCACTATGGAGACCAGAAAAAGCACCACGGGAAATCAGCTGGGCTTGGAACTGGGGAGTTTCCCTCCTACTTATCTGAGAACCAGCAGCCCAAAGAGAGTAAAGAGAAGTTTCTCTTCCCACTGTGCCTTCCTTTCTTTCTAGGGTGTCCTCTGGGTTCCAAACGGAGCACCCAGTGTGTCCAATGGCACTTCTTCCAGTGGGGTCTTAAAATGGAAAATTAGTAAAAAGATACAAACACACTTCCTGGTGTTTCTTTATAATAAATATTTTGAGAACAAATTAACAATAGAAACTAATTTTTCATTGTAAAATATCTTAGTAAGTCATCTCTTAAATTATGAGATAGATAGACTGAAGAAAATACGTGCAATTAGATTTGTAGGAAAAACTTCTTTTTATTTTGGAGGTTCAAGTGCATCCTTATTGCTGATGATGTTGGTGTCTTAAACATGGTCTAAAAACAATTAATAAAGAAAGTTGTTTAATAAAATACATGTTCCTAAAAGAAATAACTACCTTGAGATTCCTAAATTACAGATCATAGTTCTTTTTCTCTGTCAAGCTCATTCAGATCTGTCACACTCTTCACAACAATCAATGCAGTCATCTTAATGCTGTACTCTACTGCAGATTAAGTGCTTAAATTTCATCCTCTGCACCACACTGTGGAACAATTACATTAGCCTTTATTCACGTTTCACACGTATCTATAAAATGCATTAGGCAGCCACTTGCACATTTCAAAG